GCTAGTAAACTGGCTGGGATTTCTGGGAGTTGTAGGCCAAAACTCCTGGGGGCCAAAACTCCTGAGAACCACTGATGTAGGAAAATGTCTAGGTCCTGGGAGAATAGGCCCAATCCAAGCTAAAGGAGGAAGGAACAGCCCACTCCTGATTGGTGGGGGAGTTAGAGAGTGTTGGCTAGCTACAGAAGGTGGAGGGCTCCAAGGAGAGCGGTAATCTAGGAGACAGGAAGAAGTCTAAGGAGGAGAAAAGGAGTGTTTGGAGGTCAGAGGGAAAAACCTCTGTGAGGGGGGAGTGAAAAATAGCCTTCGGGGAGAAGTGCTACATTTTTTTTAGAGAGCATCTAAGGGACAGAGTGCTTATATTAGGAGCGTCTGGAAGGGAGGACAGAGAGGTTTTGAAAAGCCTGGTTAGTTCACCTGTGAGTGAACATAGTTCTGTGGAAGACAAGTTAAGGAACATTTTCTTTTAAGGAAACAGTTTGATAATCTTTTGAAACCACCAAGCGCCTGAACCTCTCCTAATATCTGAGAAGCCTTCTTGTTCTAGTTCAAATAATAATAATAATAATAAACTTTATTTATACCCTGCCACCATCTCCCCAACGGGGACTTACATGGGGCCAAGCCCGAACAACAAACTACGATATAACAATACAAATTGAAGTAAAATAAACAACATAGCATTAAAATATAAAACATCAAAACATATAAACAATATACACAGAACATAGGAACCAAACATAATGAAAGAGAGCGGGTCGCATGTACATAAAATGATTTAAAAACTATGGTTGAGATAAGGGGGCAGAACTAATTGTAAGGGAGAACTCATAGAGAGATAGGAAAATAAACAAACCTTCGTACATGGGGGTGGGGGAAACTCCTGGGACAAGAGAGTTGAGGGAGCATTAGCATAAAGTTATGTGGCTATTCTCCTAAAGCGCAACGGCAGAGCCATGTCTTAAGATTCTTTTTAAAGGTTTCTAACATAGGGGCTTTCCTAATCTCTCCAGCCAATGAATTCCAGAGTCGGGGGGCCACAGAGGAGAAGGCTCTCTCCCTTGTAGACTTCACAAATCTGTTTGTATTTCACCACAAATATTCAACGTGTCTTTCTGGGCATCAATATAAGAATGGAGCCTATCTGGATAACAGCCATCACTCTTCAAGTCAGATTTTCCCTCCATTTTTGAGTGGCTCTGTGAACTGACTACAGTGGTCGGTGGGACAGGGAAGAGTGAATGGTGTGGTCATAGACCAATACATTTAGATTGATGGCAGGGAAGTTATATTGTCATGTAATGAATGGTCAGTAGGTGGGATCAACCGTTGTCAGATGCTTGATCTAAAGCATTCTCTTGAACCCGCAGCTGAGATTTCTAAGCATCTTGCCAAGCTACAGATCTCAGGAGTCCATAGGACAAAATTGTCGCAGATCCAGTGGGTATCAAAGAGAAACAACTGTAGTGTAGATATGCTCTGGGAAGTTTAGCATTCTTGGGGCTGGGGGTAGTTTTGTATTTATATGTAGTGGTTTGATTATTTTTAACCTTTTGAACTGCAATTGCTCTTTCGTGGAGAAGTGCCAAGTAGCAAATTCTGTAGAAAATCTAAGCTTCAAGTAGTGTTGACGTTTGGTTCATATTAAGACATTTCCACCTTCTTTTGCATTGATTTAAAGGGAGCCGTGCCATGCTATTTCTAAGCAGAACATTTCAGTCTAATCTTATCTAGGCATGCTGTTTTGCTTCCTGTTATAACAATTTTGCCTCATGAGTCAGTTTGGATTTCTTTAGATCAGAATTATAGATAGGAAAGAGGAGCTACAGCCAATAATATCCAGGCAGGGACGGCTCTCCGAGGTGTTTTCTTTCTTGTGAGGCATTAACATCTCCCACATATAGCTGCAAGATTCCCAGCTCATGGCGTCTGTTTCCAAGCTCAATCACGAAGTATTGCTTCCTAACCTTAAAAAATGCCATGCTGTTTTTGGTTGAATAATGTAAATATCTCAGCACCTCATGAAGCAAATGTCTTTTTGAAGATCTTATAATTCAGAATCCCATTTTCCCACCCATATATTCTGAAAGAATTAGCTTGCCAAATTTATTCTCCAAATTTCATGCTGTTTCTCTCCATACATTTATGACTATGAACACTATTTTTTGTGTTAATAATTTTGTGCACATGCTCATGGTCTCATAGCTGGAGTTTTTAAGGTTGTCAAACTGAAAACTAGAGATCGCTTCTGTAGTTTTAATGGTTCTGTAGAGGGAATTTCAACAGGTATCACAATTCATGCCAAGAGATAACAAGCAATACCTACTGAAATTCCCTCTTCTACGGAACCATTAAATGTACAGGAACATTATACAGCTTCCATGTTGGCTTTCCCAGTTTCCAAAAGAGACGTATGGATGCTGCAATAAACTTAATACAGTCTGTTCTTCTCACTTCTGAGGGTTTGTTTGTTCCTGAGCAGTTGGGACTTGATGTCTGAAGAGACTGGCCCTCTTTGAGAAATAGCACTGGCTTTCCCTTCTAATGAAAGTTGTTGTTTATTTGTGCAGTCACTTCCGACTCTTTGTGACCTCATGGATCTCCCTGTTGGCCATTGCCACCTCCAGCTTCTTCAAGGTCAAGCCCGTCACTTCAAGGATACCATCCATTCGCCTTGCCTTTCGTCGATCCCTCTTCCTTTTTCCTTCCATTTTCCCCAGCATCATTATCTTCTCCAAGCTTTCCTGTCTTATCATAATGTGGCCAAAGTACTTTAGCTTTGTCGCTAATATTCTTCCCTCTAGTGAGCAGCCAGGTATTATTTCTTGGAGTATGGACTGGTTTGATCTTCTTGCAGTCCAAGGCACTCTCAGAATTTTCCTCCAACATCACAGTTCAAAAGTGTCTACCTTCTTTTGCTCAGCCTTCATTATGGTCCAGCTCTCACAACCATAGGTTACTATGGGGATTACCATTGCTTTAACTATGCGGATCTTCGTTGCCAGTGTGATGTCTCCACTCTTCACTATTTTATCGAGATTGGTCATTGCTCTCCTCCCAATACTTAAATGTCTTCTGATTTCCTGTCTGCAGTCTGTGTCTGCAGTAATCTTCGCACCTAGAATTACAAAATTTGTCACTGCCTCCACGTTTTCTCCCTCTATTTGCCAGTTATCAATCAGCCTGGTTGTTACAATCTTTGTTTTTTTTATGTTTAACTGCAACCCAGCTTTTACACTTTCTTTTTTCACCTTGGTTATAGGGCTCCTCAGCTCCTCCTCACTTTCAACCATCAAAGTGGTATCATCTACACATCTAAGGTTGTTAATGGGAGACATTGATGCAATTGTTGTCATTACAACAATTATCACCCTGATTTCAAGTTGCTTCCAGGGGGATGGCAACTATTGAATATTATTTGTAAAATGCTGCTTGAGGCAGCATAGTAAAAACATCTTCACCTACCCAATTCAAAGTGTATAGCAGCTGATACCAGCCAAATTATTTTGGCACACGAGGTAGAAAATCTCAGAATCTTCTCTTTTCACATGACAGTAGAAATACAGCAGTATGTATTAAAAAAATATTTTGAATTTTCATCAACCCCTTCTCAATCTTCAGTTTTGTTTTCTCTAGTAAAAAAAATAAACCTCAGCCACAATATTAACTCAGCTCCAGTTAACTGTCTAAACTACTCCTTTTGAAAAACACAGGAATAGTATTAAGGACATTTGCACCAAGAGAAAATGCAATATACTGCTTTTTCGTGTTCCAAAAGAAATCCAGGAAGCTATGTATTTTCAAGCCTGAGCAGGAGCAATAGAGGCTTCCCTAGCCTCCTCAGAAGCCAGGACAATTCTAGACCTATTCTTCAGAGCTTGGGAAAGTTACTTCGTTGGATCACAACTCCCCAAATCCCCCAGTGGTGTGGTCATATAGGGATAATTATAGGGAGAATTTTAGAAAGGCATAGGCCAAGCTTTTTGGGAGCAAATAAAAAGCAAATTTCAAATCATTATACAAAAACTTACAGCATTTGAGGTAACTTTCTCAAGCCCTGAAACCACAAAAATAATGGTTTGGCCAATATTTTTTGACACATCCTCGTTGTCTTGTGGGAATTTTGTGAATGTTATAGCTAGCTATAAACAAAAATAGCCGTTACTTCCTGAGCACTGTTGAAATTGTCATGAATTCTTGAAGATGAAAAAAAGAAACAATATTAAAGGAGGTATTGAGAGAGCAGTAGATTACATTTGGGAAAAAGACTCCCTTGTTGAAATATCATCAACATTTTTTCTCAAGGAAAAGGGAGGTGTTGTCTGGAACAAGTAGCCGAAGAAGCAATTTTAAAAGGAGAGAAGGTTAAGTACTTGATAGGTCTTTCTGGAAAAGGAAAACCCTGATAGTGGCAGAAATGTTTTCTGGACCTAACATATGTTTTCCATGTCTTACTTTCTATGAGACTAACAGATGCTCCACAGAAGTGAGAATGTTTATCTGTGCAGGCTTTGGCATCCCTGTGCCAGATATTTGACAGGCAAGTTGCTATGAATTTCTTTTGTGACTCATCTTACAACATTGTGTTGAATTTAGTGGTTGAAAAGTCACAGCTGGTTTGTTCAAATCTGCTCTACAGACTTCCCAAGACAAACTCTTCCCACCACTCCCATGCCTATTTTGTGGCAAGCCACTGCTAGAGGTAAATGTCAAGCAGATGTCACATTGGCAACAAGATCCATCAACGGATTAGTCTAGGATCATGTCATCTATTCAGTGACATCACTGTCATTTCGTTTCCCATTGCAGAGGTACAATCACTCATATTCTTGGAATAGAGAATGGAACAGCATTGTGAGCTGATTCTACAATTAGAATAAAGGAGCAACTTTATTGAGTTTCACAGAAGACACTGGGTATGAGGGAAAAAGACTGATCATTATTTAATTAAAACAATGGTACATTTTAGTTTTTTTTCTATTTTTTACTTTCAGAGAAGGCTGAGTGGGAAAAAAAAGATCAATCTTGGATATTATGCACTCCAATGGATGGACACGATTTGTTGTTCTATCTCTGATGGCAAGTTCAAAATGGACCATCCTCTTGTTCATATTAATCCTAACAGCAAGGAGGAAACATTTTCATGATTTAGGAAAAATGATATTGCTTCCCAATATCTCTAGTGAAACAGTGAAATACAAAGTTTTTCTCTTAATGTTTGATGCCTACTTTCCTTTAGTGCGAAAGAGTCAAATGATACAAATAAAATGAGGCTTACAGACACTTATTTGGTATTGTGCTGCTGCATGTGTCTTCTCTCCATGGAGTGAGGAAAAGATTGATTTGCCATTTGTTGTAGAGAATTTGTTGTCAGAAAGGAGATTCCACCTGAACATTAGGAAGAACTTCTTGACTGTGAGAGCTGTTCAGCAGTGGAACTCTCTGCCCCGGACTGTGGTGGAGGCTCCTTCTTTGGAGGTTTTTAAGCAGAGGCTGGACGGCCATCTGTTGTGGGTGCTTTGAATGCGATTTTCCTTCTTGGCAGGGGGTTGGACTGAATGGCATATGAGGTCTCTTCCAATTCTATGATTCTATGATTTTTGGGACAGAGTCTGAAAAAGAGGATGATCAATCAGCAAATCCAGATAATTCTCTATTGTACAATTAATGCATTTTGAGGAAAGATAGCTAATACTCCAGAGGACAGGATCAGAATTCAAAATGACCGTAATAGATTAGAGAGCTGGACCAAAACTAAAAAAAAATGAATTTCAACAAGTACAAATGTAAGATACTACACTTAAGCAGAAAAAATGAAATGCAAAGATACAGAATGGGTGATACCTGGCTCAACAACAGTCATGTGAGAAAGATCTTGGAGTCTTCATGAACAACACGTTGAACATGAGCCAACAGTGTGATGTAGCAGCTAAAAAAGCCAATGGATTCTGGGCTACGTGAAAAGGAGTATAGTGTCTAGATTAATGGAAGTCATACTGCCTTTGTATTCTGCTTTGGTTAGACCTCATCTGAAATACTGTGTCCAGTTCTGGGCACCACAGTTCAAAAGAGATATTGACATGCTGGAAGGTGGCCAGAGGAGGGTGACTAAAATGATCAAAGGTCTGGAGACCATGCCCTATGAGGAGCATCTTAAAGAACTGGGTATGTTTAACCTGCAGAAGAAAAGGTTGAGAGGAGACATGATGGCCTCATATAAATATATGAAAGGACATCACAAGGAAGAGGGAGCAGGTTGGTTTTCAAATTACAGGAAATGAGATTCCACCTGAACATTAGAAAGAACTTCCTGACCGTACAAGCTGTTCAACAGTGGAACTATCTGCCTCGGAGTGTGGTGGAAGCACCTTCATTGCAACTTTTTAAACAGAGGCTGGATGGCCATCTTTCAGGGGTGCTTTATGCTTTTCCTGCATGGCAGGAGGTTGGACTAGATGGCCCATGTGGTGTCTTCCAACTCTGATTCTATGACACTTCTAGAACAACAGGGGTTTTAGCTAGAATTGGGCCTCTGGTAATATAAATTTCTCCTTCTGGTTTTTCATCTGAGTTTTTTCTGCTATTCCATCTAAAGTTGGTGGGTTAAGAAGGAAGATTTTGCCTAATCTTTTCATTAGATAGTTAAGATGCAAGTTCTCTCCATGCATATGTAAAAACAAAGCTTTTAGTACACTTTTAAGTTAGCAATCTAGTACGACCTACCTTTTTTGTTTTTTTTTTAAATCAGCCAAGAAACTCAAAAGAGCAACATAGAGAAATTGAGGCATGCTACTTTCCTAAATTGAGGCTAATTTCTTAGTTTTGGTCCCCCCCCCCCCCCGATGAAACACAATTCCTAACAAAGACCACTTTATCTGCTGTGGTGCAATGCTATGAAAACATTAGGAGTTGTAGTTTTGAAAAGTTTCTAACCTTCTGTGCCAAAGAGTGCTGGTACAAATCCTGGGGTTCATTGAATCATGGCAGTTAAAGTGGCATCAATCTGCTATACAGATTGTGACAATCCAATTGCATGGGAAAGTATAGATCTCTCTTACCTTGTTGGTAGAAATGTATGTTCTTAACTACTGAGTCAGGCTACGTTCACATAGGTGGGGACTCTTCCAGCTGTATAATGGCTTGTGTTTATTGCTGCGAGATAATAGATGAAAACAAAGATTGTAAAGGGAAAATAAGTCAAGATATAATTGCGGAGGTTATTTGAGGAATGCAATTGTTGAGCTTGTTCTTTGAACCTGTTTCAGTATTGTTTGCAATAAATGTAATTAGTGAGAAAATAATGGGGTGCCTGTATCCAAGACAATTACATTTCAGAACTTTTCCCAAGATTGTGTATTATTCTTCTCAGGTAATGGTATTAATAAGATATGATGCAAGAGTTCCAAAGTTTTTGCTGATTCCATCAGTGTTGTAACTTTCCATGAAAGAAAATGGTTTCTTCTTAATATTGGGGCAATTGCCTTTCCCAATTTACTGTGATATTAAAGCTTGAGAAAGATAATTTTTGGAACTTCCTGTTGGTCTTCCACTGGACACCATTTGGAAATTATGTCTTTTTAAAAAAATATTTTTATTGGTTTTCTTAAGATACATCAATACTTTAGTTACTCTTATATTCGATACTCAATTTATTACATCAACTATATGGGTATATATCTCTTGCATCCTTTTTTTTTGTGCACCTCTGTCCCCCCTCCCCCCCTTCTGAGCCACTTCAATTACATTCTCTTTTCAAAATACCATTTCTTCTTGTGGAGGTAATTTCCCATCTACTTCTTTTGAGCCGTTCTCAATAAATTTTCCCCAAACTTCATCAAAGTCATTTTCCTTCGATATCCCTTTTCCAATTCTTAACCTACACGTCAATTTATCATTTATTGCTAGTTTCCATAGTTCTTTATACCATTCTTCAATTGGTATATTTATTTTACCTTTCCAGTTCCTCGCTATCAGTAATCTTGCTGCAGTTAACATGTTATATATTGCATCTTTCTCTGTTTTTTTTTCCAATTTCTTATCGTTATATAGTAACAATAATGCAATGCTTACACTTTTTCCTATCTTCATATCCATTATAGCTTCTGTTTCTCCAAATACCTTCCCCCAAAATTCATTTACATCGCCACCTCTCCAACAGTTTTTTGTGGCATTCCTATTAATATTTGCAATCTTTACTGGTGTTAAGTACCATTTCCAAACCAAGTTATAATAATTTTCTTTAACACGTATCGATAAATTCTTTGATCCCATAATTGTACCCAATCCACTTCCTTTATTCTAAACCCTAGATCTTCTTCCCATATCTCTCTTAATGTTGCGTCCTTTATCCCCCCCCCCCTTTAATATCAATTATTATCTTATAAAATGTACTGGTTATTCTGGATTGGGTATATATAACTGTAGGCAGTGGAACCATGAGAGTTTAATATCTCTAAATTCTCTCAATATAGTTTCCTTCCTCATATCTGCTTTTATCCAGTTATTATTATTTTTATTCTTTTTCTTATTATTTCTTATTATTTCTTTTTAATCTTAACAAATTATTTCTTTTTATTAACACAAAAACCTGTTAATAGTCCCCTTTCCAGCTATTATTCTGTCAGGCTTTCCTGTTGTTGGAAATGACAAATGCTTACTGTTTCCTGTATATATGTGCTGCTGTGCAGCTTCCTTTACTCTATGGTTTCTGAGAAGTTGTTAAAGAGGCTGCAGATCACATGCTCTCTCTCTATCTCCTTTTGACCTTGTGACCTGTTGACAGCCGTTTTGTTACAAGAAAGATGCCCTGACTGGCTGGCACAGGGAACCAACTCAAAGATATTTGAAACTGGACTAAGTTTTTGTACCTGTGTATGCTGAACACATGAAAGTTGTGAGTAAACCAAATACATTATTTCCACCAAAGGTTTTTTTTTTTTTTGCTTTTCTCTGAAAGGTTATATTCTCTAATATTTATTATTTATTTATTTACGGCATTTATATGTCGCCCTTCTCACCCCGAAGGGGACTCAGAGCGGCTTACAAGTCATAAGTACATACAACATACTACATAATACATAACTAGCATAGTACTATAACATCATTCATAACACTAGTACTACATAATATTACATTATTGCTAGGGGAGGGGCGCTGATGTCACAGGGACAAGATGGCAATGTCCTCCTGGCTCCCCTTCTTTCTTCTGGCCCAAGAGTGGCCGTTGGTGCTGGTGGAGGGGCGCTGGTGTCACAGGGGACAAGATGGCAATGTCCTCCCGGCTCCCCTTCTTTCTTCTGGCCSYAGAGTGGCCGTTGGTGCTGGGGGAGGGGYGCTGATGTCACAGGGGACAAGATGGCAATGTCCTCCCGGCTCCCCTTCTTTCTTCTGGCCCCAGAGTGGCCGTTGGTGCTGGGGGAGGGGCACTGATGTCACAGGGGACAAGATGGCAATGTCCTCCCGGCTCCCCTTCTTTCTTCTGGCCGCAGAGTGGCCGTTGGTGCTGGGGGAGGAAATAATGTATTTGGTTTACTCACATACCTGTGTGATAGTTTAATTCTGCTTTATTGCCTATTTGGGGTGGTCATGGTGTACTCATTGGACATACTTTCGGTGCATCTTAGGTGATCAGCTGAGGAGAAGAGGTAACACACCACTTTTTTACAGAGGGTCTCTCTCGCTCCTGTCCAGAAGGAAGGGAGGGAGGGAGGGAGGAAGAGCAAACCAATTAGCAGGAGACATTGGTCACTCATCTTGCCTTCGTTTTCTTTGTAATACAAAATACAAAACCATTGACATGCTTAAGAGATGTTGTAGGTTTTTCGGGCTGTATGGCCATGTTTTAGAAGCATTCTCTCCTGACATTTCACCTACATCTATGGCAGGCATCCTCAGAGGCTGTGAGGTCACAACCTCTGAGGATGCCTGCCATAGATGCAGGCAAAATGTCAGGAGAAAATGCTTCTACACCTGGCCATACAGCCCGAAAAACCTACAACAACCCAATGATTCCGGCCATGAAAGTACATGCTTAAGAGAGCTGGAGGGCCAAGAGAAATGCAAAGAAGCCAAGCAGTCTGTAAAATCTGAGTAGGGAGGATGAATGGATGGCAAGTGGGCTGTCATTTCTTATTAGTATACTCCCCCCCCCCCTCTCACATACACATAAAGCCCAGATCCCTCAACTGGGACTCTTTCCTTTTTTTTGTTTTGTTTTTTTGAAGTATTTTTCCAAGATATTCCTTGGTGTGTGTGTTTTTAAAGCATTAATTTCAAAATAAATGAACTCCCCCCTCCCATACACACATTGTGGATCATTCCAAAGGAGAAAGGAAAAATGCAGCTCCCCACCCTCAGGGAAAAAAGGCAGAAGGCTGGGATAAACGTATGCCCTTTAAAGCATAATTCTTTTTCATTTATATTTCTGTGTGTAAAAGTTGTGTTTTCAATAGTATTTGTGGCTTACATTACAAATGAATTATTCAAGTCAGGTAGGGAGGAAGTGGGGGTAACCTTTGGGAAAACGAAGCCAAATCAGTTGGGGTTGGAAGGAATAAGTGGGCTGTCCTCAATGCTGTGTGTGGTCAGCTTTTATGCCAAGATTCCAGTCATGCAGTTGGAAAAGAGCAATCTCAATTTTATAGTGTTGTTAGCATCAACGCTATTTTAGCGAGAGAAGAACCTAATATGACAAAGCCGTTTATGTTGCGTTATTCATTTTTAAATGAAAAACATCAAGAGGGTATGGCATGGATTTGGGAAGAAAAAGTCAGGATCATGATCAATATTATCCTGATAATGATCTTCACACAAGTTGGGAAGCTTTCCTTGACATCCAAAAAATGACTTTCTATCTCAAATAATATCTGAGGCATAGAAGCAAAGCTAATCCTGTCTCTCTCCACTTGCACTTCATTTGCCTAATACTTTTTGGGCGCTTAAACCACTAGGAGCATATCCTCTTCCCAAGTGGCTGATTTAATGTTACATGCAGCTCGGTCTTGTCTTGTTGGCCTGCCCAGCTTGTAAGACATGCCTGATTTAACCATTACAAATTATAGGGCCACAGAAGCACTCTATGTTAAGGGTGAGTTAGATGAATCACTCTAACCAGAAATGAGCTGGGGATTGTAGCTTCTATTGCTTATACTCTGACAGTGGTTTGACATATTGATCTGAAACTTGGCAGTACAGGAGAAGACCATTTGAGGGTGGCCCAAGACTGTTTTAAGACAGAAAGGATAATAAATGGTTTATTTATAGGAGCAGCAAGTAACATCCAGTGGTATGCTGATTTCTCCTCATTTGGGCCAAAATCCAAGCCTCAGGCAAAAGATGCAGGTTATTTTAACGGAGGCTTAGTCTTTAGACCTAAGGCTTTAAATAGACAGTGTTGCCTACACAGAAGAAAAAACTTATGCCAACATTAACCATTCTTCCCAGTTTTCTCTGGATGTTTTTCTTCCCCTGAGATATGAACCTTTTAATAATAATAATAATAATAATAATAATAATAATAATCCTTATTTATATCCCGCTACCATCTCTCAAAAGGGACGTGGGGCAGCTTACAAGGCACTCCAAGGCACGGCAGCATAACATAAATGATACATGAGTATAAAACAATATCACATTAAATTTATAAAAATAACCTCTATCAACACACATAAAAATAAGATAACACAGTTTTAAAACCACAGACCATCTGTAATTAAAACTAGCTGCCATCAATTCACAACTAAAGTGCCAGTGTGTCAATCTCGGGTCCATTTCAGCCTATTCGAGGCCAAAAGCCTGCTTAAAAATGCATGTTTTTAGGCTGGATCAAAAGGATCCAAGGGTGGGGGCTAACCTTTGGTAGGATGTACATCTGTACACTATGGTGGTGTCAGCAGTATTAGTCTTGTGTGAAAGATGCTCTGCAGATAAGCATTGAGAGATGACCTTCAAACTGTTGTCATCTCTTGTTAGTTATAGTTATAGTGGATTGCACTGAAATATTAGCTGGCATCCTGGTATTCTGGTAAACAATCAAATGTGGCACCCTAAACCAGTAGTACTCAACCTTTGGGTCCCCAGATGTTTTGGCCTTCAACTCCCAGAAATCCTAACAGCTGGTTGGGATTTCTGGGAGTTGTAGGCCAAAACACCTG